CGTTGTGAACATCAGTATGTTGCACTTATAGCGGACATGCCCTGATAGATTGGTCAACTAAAAGAAGAAGAAGAAACACAGGATTTCCATAAAATGCCTATTTTCAGAGGATGCTCAAAATTATATTATTCAAGGCAGGTATTGCAGAATGCAAGCCGCTACTTCTCCTATCTACTATGCGGAACTTTGTGAAAGAAAAAATCGGTCTTAGTAAGTTATTTACAAACGGGCCCATACGAGGGAGCAGTAACACTGTAGGGGAATAATGTTTAATACTGCTACCGATTCCCGGCCGAGATCGCTTTGTCATAACTGTTGCCACTTTACTTCTGTTTTCGTCTCAAATGCATCAACTGTTGTTGGCAGCAATCTCATCTGGTGGCGATTTCGTTGGTTTGGAGCAACTCCTGCCATGCTGACTTAAATAGGAAAGAAGCTACAGTTAAAGATGCACTCAGCTGTCAACAATGTGCGATTCATAATGACATACCGTAACGCATCGATTGCTCATCGGAAAATTTTCTGATTTCGCTTAAACACAGTATCATGAAATTACAGCTTGACTAATGCTCAACGTCATCTTTTAGAAAAAATCTGTAGGCAATTATTATAATGTGCATCGGGAGAATTTCGCTTAAATATGCAATTGGGTTAAACAGTTTACCTCAAATTCTTGTAAACGAGGGAATTTTTATTCGCATGCTTTTTTTCCACGCTTTTTTCTTTATATGGCTTGGTGTTTTAAGCATTGCATAGTAATGACATTTCCGTGCCCATAAGAAACAATACTTAATCAATTTAAAATCGTCTGCCAATTCAAGGAATTGCTGCTCATTCTCTATTGCGTCTACCCATGTAATACATATAGAACGGCAAATTTAATAATAAGTCTTGTCTTCTTCTTTTGTATGCTAGTGTTTATAAAAACATTATGAAATTCTTTGTAATTATTTTATTGTTAAGTAAATCGAATTCTTTTCACTATAATGCGTCTCATTTTAAATAAATATTTTCAAATAATTCAATTCACCTGTACGCTCAAGTTGATAGTATGTGAGATTAACGGCTGACTAGTACTAGGAAGAAGTACTAATTTTTTCATTTTTTTTTTTTTTTTTGTAATACGCAAGCAACACTTCCCGCAATAAGTAGGTTCGATTAACACGTCTTTTTCAAAGCTCTATATGTGCCTGAAAAAGCGGAGGTTTCGCGTACACACTCGTGTTTAGTGCATACTACGAGGGCGTTAGCATTATTTATTAGAGGCGATAGTACTTACGAATTAAATTTAATTAAAATAGTTGACTAAGAACTGAGGCTTTGCACTTTTGATTAATTCGCCTGAATTCAATCGAAAACAGAACTTTGAAGTTATAAATCCTTACCTGCAGCATAGTTAGTCATATCCTCGTTCGGCTCGAATATTGGCTAAGATTCGTCGGCTTAAAGCAAAATTGAAAATGACCTGATCGATCGCCTCATGGGAATGTTATAGTTAGACTAGGCCGACTTTGAGATATCTTGCCATTAGAAAACTTCATCTACTTGACAAAGCTTCTATTGTACTGCAGTTACATCCGCCATAATAAACCAGAAGTTACGCTCTGTCATCATAGAGGGGTGGCTTTTATGAGAACGCCAATCCGGACTCAATGCAAAAAATAGGTCTATGCGATCCAAATGGTCGATTTACTAAGGACAAACTTATTTCATAAAATATCAACAATTCGAATTTTTGGCATATAAAGGCTTATATTCCATTAGAATCCTCATATGAGCTGGAATCCAAAAAAAAAAGATGTACGTAAAGTCTGTTCGTCAACCTACTATCTGTTATGAATCAATTTTCTTTCACATGAAATATTGAAAACCTATCCTTTTTTTACCTTATAAAGAGTCAGTTTTCGTAGGAACGGTTGTGCGAGAGAGAGGGTTAAAAGAGATTGTGTCGTCGGATGAAATGTTTTCACATCAATTTAAAAGGCCGTAATACTATTAAGAACCGATTTTCGTTCCGAAATCGAAAGAAATAGCCATATTTTTTTTTGAAACGATTTCTCAAAGTAAGGTTTTGTATGAGAAGTGGTTAAAAAAATCGTCCGAACCGCCGTCGAGCGAAACCACCTTAGCGTATCAAATCTCATCGAAATATCTCAAAAATTTGCACAAAAAAGCAAGACGGACCCCTACAAGCTTAGATCGATTCAGAAAGCGGTTCTGAATAAAAGGTACGTTTATCTCAAATCTCTTTAGGACTTGCAGTTTGAGCACAATAAAACACGACGGATAGACAAATTCAAATCGATTCAAAAAGTAATTTTGTATGCTAGCATAGATAATAAAAGACGACTCTACCTCTACTACTTCTGGGTGTTGCAAACGTCCGTACAAACTTATTACACCCTTGTACCACAAGTGGTGTATAAAGATTACAATAGATAAAATAAGTATAATATAGCAGGAGGAATGTCATGAAGAAATTTGAATTAAAACAGAGCCACCGTGTGGGAGGGTCTCTTGTCGAGCGGTGTCCGGTCGGTGGATAAAGTGTTAAGATTTGATTTAAGACAAATATAGTTTTATGATTATTATCGACGTAGATGTCGTCGGGATAAACAACTAGGTTTGGATGAATGATCTATGCCTAGATATTACGAACACGCTTTTTAATTTATATTGTAAAAGCCAGGCTGATCATTTCATTTCAAAGTAAGTGTTATACATTTATTAAATAGCTTGACTTTAAACACTAGGATTTATTGCTGTTCATCATTGTTTGTTTCGCTTTCTAAAAATTGCCATATGAATATGTGCATATGAATGTAGTTACATTAAATACTTAAATAATTGCTTCAAATTTATTTTTTTGTTTTTTTATTCATCAGTCCGTCAGTTTGCATTTTTCATTTTAAATTGCTCTTTGCTGCGTATGTGTGTGTGTGTGTGTGTGTGGAGAAAGAAAATTAATTATATTGATTTTAAAATCTTGCCGTTTATAACGAATTTTTCAATTTTTCTCTCGATTTCTTTTATGTAGAAAGAAATCTCAGTGAAAAAACTATAATAATAAAATCAATATTGATAAAAATATCGTTGGAAAAGTAATTGTGAATATAATTTTTATGTATATAGAGAGAGATATATAAAAGAACTATAAAAAAACTGAGCTTACTCAGTGTGAAGGCATTTACGGCAAATGTTGTGTTAACCATAAATATTTTGATTTCTTTCTTTCGCAATTAAACAATAAATAAATTGAAAAGGGTGTTGTGTATCATATCCCCTACACCGATTATGATAAGTGCGTATTAGTGATGCGCAATGCATGCAATAACCAGAAGGAGGCGGGATAGGTCCGTCCTTTATTGTACCGATTGAATTAGAATCAGTTTCTGCATCGCACTAAGCTGATCTGTCCACTTTGTTTTCGTGTGTTCAACTTAAAGCTCGCAGTTTTTGATACATTTTGATGAAATTTGGTCTGTTGACGCTGACGTTTTACTATTGAAAATTCTTCGAACGGTATCACCATATAAGGTTTTTTTTTTTTTTTTTTTTAAAAAAGTGATTATATCAGTAAGTGTGAGTTGGTCGAGTGCATTTAATGGTGGACCATGGCTTCTTACAGTATTTTTAGTTATTTTATACATAATATGTAGGTATTCAATTATATGAATGGAGTTGATAGAAGTTCAAGAACAAAATCTATTTTAATGGTGCTTCTTCATCCTTTGTTTTGCAAATGTATATGATGTAGTTGCGTCAGTCTACGCCTCCCATTTTCTTACTGTAATCATGGGCTTTTATTAGAGTTTCCAATTTTCGTGATACCTCGGCGAGATCTGGTATAATATTTATTCTGGTTCAGGCTGGAATTTATTTGATAATGGATTGGATGGTAGAATTTTTCCAATGACTCATTTTAATAAGACATTAAAATATGACGTTGCCCTACTAAGTAAATATTGACGGATTTGGATAAAATTTAATCATTTCTGAAATCTCCTTTTATATATAAATCTCAAGGCTAAGCCTAAGGCATCAAAAATAGACATTTAGTATATGAATACATAGTATGAAATTTGGTCTACGGTAGGACTTCTCTTCACTAACCTTCCCATATAAGCATGCTTATGAAAGGTATGCATTTATGTGAGCAATTTGGCCTAATTTTTGTATTATAATGCATGAGGTAAATGGGCAAAAAGAATTGTATTATTATTAAAGTGGTGGTGTGTGGTATCCAATAGCTAACCTTGCTCGACTAAAACGTTTTAACTTGTTTTTAATGCATTTTACATATTGTTTATTCTCTTTTACATGTTGTTCATGTTCATGGGATCGATTTACACGGCCTATACTATGCTTGAATATTTATTTCTTTTTTCATTCTGTTTCGCCTTTTACAAGATTTCATTTCTCAGGATTTTTAAAAGAAGGTATCTAACTTATAATGTGTAAAAAAATGATCTGTACATAATATTCCCTTTTTTTTTGAAGATCTCATTTTGTAACAAACAAAATCACTGTATTAGGCCAGGGCGGCCGTATCATTCATGCAGATATTCATATAGCCCACCCTACAGATATTCATATAACGACTTCGCAAAGTAAAAGAAAACTGGTCGATGGAAATATTTTCACTAATGCGAAAAGACATTAGTGTACAATATATATTAAACAAAAATATATCCAAAATTGCGGCCTGTAAGTTGAGCACAAGAAAATAAAAAAAAATTAAATCGATTCAGAAAGTGATTGGTATAAAGAAAAGTGTATCCATTTCAAGCCCTGGTGTTGTACAATTCCGCACAAGCATATATGCCCTTCTGCAACAAACACACCCATTGCATGCATATATACACATATTAACATATATACTTGCACACTATATATATATATATATAATAATGCACTAACATACATATATATATATATATTGCATGTATTGGATGTAATTTGTAGTCAGCATCGCGAAATAACAAACAAAAAAAAAAAAATAATAAAAGAAAACGTAATAATGAGTCCAAAGGACTGCATTACAAGATGGTTTTAATCAATATTCATTTTCAAATTTTCATATGTAATATCTGTTTATAACGTCTCGTGCTTATTTTTGCAAACATATTTTATATAAATTTGTATATGAAACACCAATTGTAAGACATGATAATAATTTAATGTTACAGTAAAAAACAAAGCAAATAATTAAAAACAGTTGCTTTGATTCATACAAGACATAGATGAAACATTCGAAATTTTCGAGTTTTGAGTTTAAGTCGTTCCAGAGAAAAACTGACGATTTTTGATGTGATAATTTTTTACCCTGGATTGCATAGGGCCCAACTTTAAGTGGTATTGTCTTTTTCAAATTGATATTATTGTTCACCAATAGGGATGGGGTGATACCATTGCTAGATTGATTGCTAGATTCATGTCTAACAAGTCGCGTCCTACTTTCAAGGCAGTTAACCAAATGTGAATCGTAATAAGAAAAACAAAAATCATATTCATAGCAAATTCTTCCAGGTTTGCGCTAATGCCTGCATCTTTCAAAAGGACTGCAGATAGACTCTTGTAATATCAATCGACAAAGAAGCATTTTCTAAATCGATTAAAGAACACAGTCCGTCCATCAGTCTCGGCGTGTAATACCTGTCTGTGAGCGTATTTATGTTCAACGTACAACGATTTCGAGATATTTTTGATGAAAATTTGTGCACTGACATCTTTTGGCGGAAGAGCGAAATAAAGTGGGTTCGATGGGACCATTTTTAGGAAAATTACTCATATAATGACACAAAACGACACAATTTTGCATTTCTCTACACAAATTGATGGAAGATATTGAGCCTTGCTACAGGTTGAGACCATTTTTCGCTATTTTGAAAAAGTGCTTAAAAGAAATAATTTTTTTATGAAGGCAAGGTCGACGTAAACACGAGTTGGTACCATAACCCTGGCTAACAATGTTGCGTCACTTTTCATGTGGTAGTTCTCATAAAAAATAACTCTTTATGTGATATAACGAAAAGCCAGCTTAGGCCGACCTTTGACGTATCGCTTTTGATAATCGGTCTCAATCCAACCAATTTGTAAAGCTTTTATTCTTCTTAACGTAAATAATAACTAATGCAACAAACTTTTTGTTTGGCGGTGAAGGTGTTAAGAGATTTTTAAACAAACAAAAAATATATGTATATATACTTATAGAGAGAGAAACAATGTTTGGCTAAATACTAAGTGCTCTTGCTGAAAGTTTGACTTCAATCAGCGAATCCCCAAAGTTACTAAGCTGATTATTTACCATCTCACGCACACTCTCATAAGTGAATGTATCTATAGTAGGATATGGGTGAATTTGTAGATGTATCCATTCCTATGTACATATGCATATGTATTAATAGCTATACAAGCGATATTTATGCATCGTTGCCACAAGTTGTAGCGAAAACGTTTCAAACATTTCCATAAAAGTTTGTTTACTCTCAGAGATTTCTGCGATTACTTGGCAGCATTAGCCTATTGCTAGCATTGTTATTGTAATTTTGTTTGCTCTGAGAGAAAATTTCTCTCATTACTTGGCAGCATCATAGTATTGCTGGCATTGCTATTGTAAAATTGTGTTTGGCCTGAGAGGAGTTCGACAGAGAAAGAGAATCACTTTTTAACAATCGCTTACATTGAATATCATGAATATAACTCTAAACATTTTCTAGATTTTTTTCAGTCGCTTTTTTTCTCTTGAAACGTGCAAGCGGAATAAAGTGATTATCTATTTTAATTGAAATTTTTTAATAAAAGAATGACTCTCCGGTAAAGAGCTTCTGTTGTGACACTACAGGTGGGAGATACATATACAGAAAAAATTCATTAAAGTGAGAAAATGTAGAAGAAAAAAACGAGATCTTTTTTTTGGCTTATTCTTGTGTTGTAATGGCCTTTAAAAAAGGTTTTTGTTCTTTGAGAAAAAAGAAAAGATCTCCTAATAATAATAATACAAATATTAGACATTTTAAAAGCTTTTCATTCGCTGGTATACGCGTAGACTTGTATCTGTATTTGTCTCCCTTACTATAAGTTATTTCCGTTGATTGAATGGACGGTCGGAAAAAATGTTATAAACCCAGAAAAAGAAGAGATACAAATTAATAACCAACAATATACGCCACAATACATTATTAAAAAAAAAAAAAATTTTTTTTTCAGTGATTTTAATGATTTATTTATTTATTTGTTTGTTTGTTACTCATTCGTTGTGTATCATATTTGACGCGTTCATGTGCGAAGAAAAAAAAAGAAAAAAACATTAAATAAACGTTTAAAATAACTGCAGCAGTGGTAGCGATAGTTAACGTGCCCGACACTACTTTGATCACTTCAAAATCAGTACCTTTTATTATACCAATGCATGCAATAGATCGTGAGCTTGTTTGACTCTGCGTGTGTGTGTGTTTGTATGTGTATATGTATATAACGTATTGTAATGTGCAAAATACGATTTTTATTATTATTATCATATTAGCTTTTCTTGAAAGATTTTGTCTTTTTTTTTTTTTTCTTTTAAATGCATAAATGTACAAACGATACATATAGAGTACAACAGAAAAACTTGTTCGACTACGTTTGGCAAAACCTTCCATTAAATAATACATACAAATATACATGTACGTGTACATATACACTCATAAATTTTTACTCATTTTTCTTTTTCGTGCTTTTCTGGTCTTTTGTTGTGATCAACAAAAATGCCAAATAACAACCAAAAGAAAGAGCATTAGCAGCAATTCTTTTTTATGATTAGCTAAGATCTGCATAGTTGCTGTAGTTGTTTGTGCATTGTTGTTCTTGTTGTTATGATGACGATGGTGACGATGCAATTGTTGAAGGCACTCAATGCTGTATGTTTGTTACCAAGGGCTTAAAGTACCATAAAATAAGATTTAAATATCATGACGTACACAAAGGCATAAAAGGGCTTAATTCAATCACCCATTCGCGGAGCACAGCTCCAATTTCAACCATGTAAAAGAACTGAAAAAATTTTATTATAAATTACATGCACATGAATTACCCAGGAAGGGGAATATTTTTATAAAGAATTTTTATATAGAAAGAATTTTATTATAGATATTGTGAGAGACCAACTCTACCACCTAATTTTTTTTTTTACACGGCACATACGTTCTTTAGAAAATCGTGCAAAAAGAATCGCGTTAAAAAAATACATGCTCTGTACAGTGAATTAGATGATATGTTCCATAACTTTAAATAATCGTGTACAATGGAAAAACTCTAATTATTTTCCCGAAAAACCGTGCAAAAAAAGTATATAAGAAAAATCATTCGTTTTTACGACAAAAAAAAAAGAAATTAAAATTTGTGCACAGTGAAAATTCGGTCCATAAATACAATATTTGGTCGCATCAAAAATGTCATCATTAACAGATATGTCAGATATGTGTCGCACGATTGTCGGGAAGGAGAATGATCATATCATTCGGATATCCACGGTAGTAGGTTACTAACATATGCATGGTCACATATCAACCGGCCGCCCTCTGATCATGGTATTTCTGCCATTGTATATTGTTACTGCTTAGTTTCCCTAAGCCATTGTCAAAAAATTAGGAATAAAGCAAAACTATTTTTAGGGATTCGCGCTAAAGCAAACAATTCGTGCAGCAAAGTCTATTTGTGCTTATCGGCAAGCCATGCTATTTCCAAATCGGGTAGAAAAAACGGCCCACAAAAAGAGGGTTATATATTTATTCTAATTTCTTTCCAATATTTACTGTTTTAATAGAGGGTCGAAATTTCAATATGCATCGTTTACAAATTCTCACGTACAGTATATCGATATCGTGGTTCGTTTAGATACACAACCTTAAAAAGCTGAGTAATTTGAAAAACAAACAAAATATAAGCATTTTGTCTCTAATGACATGGCACTTCTATCCGACATCGATCTGGATCCAGCAGACCTTTAAAAAAGCAGACAAAAAAAAAAAAGGGAATTTAGTTTGCGCGTTCACAAAGATTTAATAAATCCTACTAAACAAGAAACATCGTATGTAGATTGCTCTCCTGTTTATTTCCTTGGACTTCGATTCGGTGTATTTTAGTAAACAAAAAAAAAATAAATAAATAAATAAATAAATTTCTACGATAATAACTACAAACATATTATGCAACAACAACAAGAATAACAGCAGTACCAACACCAACGGCAACGACTTCAACTGTAACCTCAAATTGCAAATTTATAAGCAAAAAAAAAAAAAATTTTTTTTTTTCTTTAAAGTGTCTATGTGCGTGTTAGTGTAGGTTTACATAATAGAATTTAACTATTATTGTTGTGTCCGTTAAATGTATGAAAGCGAATAGTAAAAAAAAAAATATTAAAAAAAAAAAGTTTTACACCGAAATGTTAATAACATAAACATTAACTAAACATAAATGTTGTAAAAACATTGATCTACTTTTCGCATTATTTTAAATATTTAACAAAAAAACAAAATTCGAAATTTTTTATTAACGAAAAGGAAAGAGAGAGAGAGAGAGAGAAGCACGATTGATATTCAAACGCTTGATTAAGTTGCAGTGCTTTCTATTGGAATAATTTCCACTTTGCATACCAATCACCCCGGAATTGTAATATTCTTCGCGTTTGTCAAGGCGAAAAAACGTTTCACTGTAAGTCTCTGTTATTCCTTTTGTAATAAACTTCTTCACATATGTACGTGCACAGGCAAGGGCATCAATACACGAATGCAAAAATATATACACAAGTGAAAATTTGTTTTAGTTTAGTTACAAAATCTTACTCGAATATCTTCGAATTTTATTTTATTGACAAAAATAAACCGGTCATCGAATCTAAGTTTGGCTACTGAACTTTACCGCCTTCGGTCGATCATAGTTTTCTGTGTAATGTTTCCTTGAACAAATCTGAAAGTGCTTTATGTGTTGCTTGATTCGGAAAGAAATTTCTTTTCGTTTCTTTTGGCCAAAAACAAAAAAAAAAGTCCATTTCTTTATAGTACGTAAATCTTTTATCAAGCGATAGTAGAATTCAAAAGAATAAAAGTCTCGGTCATCTTATGAGTTGTCATTCGGCCCTTCCTTATAATTAATGCCTTTATTTTCTCTGTATCACGTTCTAATGGCCGTGAACGTAGCTAAAGCATTCAGTCCATTCGTCTATTCGCCGAATCGCGCCCAATAATTTTATTTTGGTTGAAAATCATTTTAACCTTTTCGGTAGTAACAAAAGTAAAGTTTGCCGGAAATGTTGCTTACAACTTTCCAAGACTTTTGCCCAGAATCAAAAACAAATTCTTCTTAAATGTGAACATGTCTGTGAAATGGGAATGCAATTAATTAATCTACAATGTTTACTCAAGGCGGCCTTTCTTTATATCTTCAATAATTGCGTAGAGGATAATTGACTTTGATCAGGAAGGAAATCATGTTATAAACGCCTTAATATAAAATTTTTTTATTTTTTCTATTAGCTTACGATTTTTAACTGTAGGTTAGATTTCTCATTTTCATTTGTGGACCAATCACTCATTGGGTATCTTCAATTCGTGCAACATGGTGACGGTCGGGAAGTAATGAGGAAAAAAAGAAAGAGAGAAGGATCATATCGTTCAATGAGCTACATGGGATATTATATCGCGTATATTGAATATCGTAGATATTTCAAACTGATATTTAACGACATCACTCAATAAGTTCATAGGATGACTATTAATGAATCCATACGACATTTAGATAGTATCAAAAATGTAAAAGTTTCTTGATATTGCGTTCATTGATGATGGAGTTTTGATACAATTCATTCGAAGATCCGTACTACCTCAAGATCTTATAGATTTTTATGAATACTGTTGACATCTATAAACCATCCTACAAACTTATTAAATGACGTGTTGCACATTTCCCTTGATTTATATATGATTTCATCTTGCTGAAGTCGCTTGGATCGACTTCAGCCGGAATATGTAGATATAATCTGAGATTAGGTCCGTTCATTTTTTCCTAGATCCCTAAAATCAAAATATAAATCTAATTCAACAAATCAAATTTCTTATAAATATTTGTAAAATTTTATATACAATCTCAGATTGCTTTTTATTAATAAAACACATCAAAACTCATATAAATTCGATGAGACATATTCAATCAGTCGAACTTTGAACCATATCTTCGAATAATTAACAACATATTTCGTTAATAATATGACTAATGTTGGTCTCCACGGCGCCAATAGTTGCTGGTCTCTCTATATGATATATATGTAAATCACAAAATTTACAAAACCATAAAGAAAGTAATTCCATGGCGTTATGGTACGTGAAATTGGCGATCGCGTCACTGGACCGGGTTATATTCTTTAATTCTTTTCAGTTAATACATTGGGGTGCGAATCTTTTTCTGATCTGTAGGCAATGTTTATAGGCGTAGTAAAAGTACGTAAAAAAGATCCTTACTTGAATCGGGGGAAAAGCAAATGAAAAATATTCAACTCCTCCCCATAACTAAGTAGATATTATTCGCGATTATCGGGCGTTTGTTCGCTTGTGCAAATTGATTATAGCTGCAGTGCTTTCTCATTCGATAAAGGCGTAACACCTACCAATTGGACATGCGTTCGAACTACTACTCTAAGATGCGACCGTCCCAAATCATTTCTCGCTCTTTTTTTTTCTCTTTCTTCAGTGCTTTGTAACGATCACCGTGTTACCCGGTATAAGAAGCATTCTCTGAGCAAATCGGTAAAAAAAAAAACATAAAAGCATTCTACTTGGATTCGAAAGACTTTTTTTTTTTGTTCATGAACTTTATTTAAAAAAAAAAAAAAAAATAAATGTACAAATTTTCAGCTTGAACTTTAAAGCATTTGTTGTTATTCATGCCCGCAAGGTATAGTACGTATGTTTTCTAAAAATAATAATTTTATGACAATTTAAAACCAATGTTTCTATGTGTAAGTCTTTTTTTTTTTGCGTTTTTATATTAACAACTTTTTTCTGCAAATAATTTTCAATGTAAATGAAATCGCTTTAGTTTTCGCACTACGTTGCAATATCTCTGTTTGCATACAAATTGTTTGTTTTTTTTGTTTTTTTTGTTTTTTTGATTCCGTAATAGAACTTTCTATTTTAAAAGTAGGAAAGAAAGTTTTATACGAAATTTCACTATCAATCATTCCAACTTGATGCATAAGAAACTCAAACTAATTTAATTATTACGAATGACCCGATGGACGTCGATTAGAAGATTCTATTAAACATTTGCGTCAGATTTGTAGATCAATTATTTGCCGTAAATTGAAAACTGCAATATTTTGCCTATGGGGTGGGTAATGTCGAATGGGAGATCCTCAGAGAGATTTTGGTGTCGAGAGTCGCGCATGCGATCATCACTGGCCAAATGTCGAAAATGCAATGCACTAAGACTCGGCTTTTGATCTTAATTTTCTAGCCACGAAGAAACATTAGGGTGTATCTTTGATCACCGTCACTTAAAATTTAAATTAATACCTGAATTTGGAAAGTATTTTGTAAGCCAAGGACGGTTGATTTGGTTAATTAGAATCTATATTTTACACGGATTTTTCACAATTATTTAGTTAGCAAGGAACTTAGTAATAAGAAATTGAACTCTGGCATGACTCTAGGTTAAGATGTAGATTTTTTGTAGATACTAGATCGACTTAAGATAACGCACAGAACTTTTTCTGGAAGATACATTTTGATGCTTTCTCGTACGTGGCACTCGATGCGAATTTAAAAAAAATTCCCGATGACCATAGATAATAAATATTTCTATCTTAAGTTAGTTTTCTTCTATAATTATTCTCTTTCATCGATCGATTACTGTGCTTGTTATACCCTACACAGCTACATGGATGTATTAAATTTGTGCTGGATATATGCTAGAGTCTTTTATTGTGCCGATCGGTTCAGAATCACTTTCTGAATCAATTTAAGATTATCTGTCCGTCTGTCCGTCTGGTTTTTGTGAAGCTTTTAGAAGTCAGCCTATTTAGACCGGAACTTTTGGGAAAATCAAATTTATTATCAGACTTGATGTGACCATCAGGCAAATATATAAAGTGCAAGTTTCAGCTTTCTATATCAATTTCTGCGCGCGTGAGCATTGCAGCATGAAAAGGACGGATGTAGTCATAGTTACATATTATTATTATTATTATTATTATTATTATTATTGTAAATTTAGCCAGAGAATAAATTCTAAGATTAAAGCACTTAGCATCTAAGGTTTAAAAGCACTAGCATCTAAGGCTTTCGGCTTTATTAGAAACTCTACCGCACTTGAGATTGGAACCCACAACCATTGACTTGCTAGTCGAGACTTTTGCCTACACACGGCGCCTTAGGCGGATGATAGTTAAATATATCGATATATCTGAATACAAAAATCAATGTACTCTGTGTGAATGTGTAAAACAGCTGGCTTTAAATGTCCACTAAGTAATATACGAAAATATTCTTATTTGCTTGTTGCTTGGCTCGTCAGCGGGTTGTCGTGTAAAAAGCATTAATTAAATAGAAGATTTATCGGAATAGAATTCTTGAAATAATGTTCTGCGCATTCTTACTCATATACAGTCCATAACAGTCGATTAATTCGATTGTAGGTAATCGAAACAAGCTTTGAAGGTTTCAGAATTTTTTTTGGTTTTTTTTTGCTGGTGCGTTTTATTCTCTACACCACTTTTGTTATAACCGTGTGTGTGTGCGTAAAGTTTATGCGGTTGTATGCAACAATCGAAAGAACTTGAGTTACATCCACGTAAACGTAATTGTAAATCGACTTAAGCTTGTCTCTCTTTACTTGTGTGTCTTGTTTACTTGTGTTTATCAAACCAATATTCGAGATATCGCAGCGGACCACTTTTCCGATCTCTTCCCATATAAAATCTTATTTTGAGTGTCATAATAATAACTGTAGGAAATGTAGGGTACTTAATGATGAGCTATTACAGCGCTTTTACTTGTTTTGTTGTATTTTAAAATTCAATTTACAAAGAAACATCAAAACCATTTACCGCTTAATGTGATGGCAAATAACTCATACATGTGTCTATATGCGTTTGTTTATCCCTTTTCGTTTTCATTAAAGAAGCTTAAGCGATATATAAAAGCTTACAATTAGGTTTGTTATGAACACACTTATGAAGTGTTCGATTCAAACTTTTTTTTTTTTTTGTAAACTTTACCTTATGTTTAATTTGCATAATACTTTTTGTAGAATCTAAATAGTATGCAAATGGGTGGGTGCGCGCTACATAACTGAATAGCATATTTCATCGTCACGATAGTTAGTTCATTTTAGAAATTCTTCTAACACAGCTATCCAGTTTGTGTGGTCATCGATTCAGTTCTCTGACCGCTCCTCATCAATCAATCAATCGAAAGCGCATATGCAAGTAGAGGATTGTAAAAGCAGACAAATCGAGGATTACTTTCAAATTCATTCGGACCAAACGCATATTGGTTGTAAACTCAATTGTAATTTGTTGTTACTTGTCTTACGACATAGGATCGAAAGGCTTTTCATTCGATGGTACTGGATCTGATTCAACTGTAAGCTTATATAACTATCGAGGTGGCTTGACGTCGACAGCGATAGACCGGCGCATGGACTGTCATGAACGATAT